GGCGGGCGAGCGTGAAAGGGTGTCGGATAGTGTGTGCAGGGAATGAAGATTGTACGTGAGTATGTTTGAATGCGTGATGGGTAGAGGCTATGTGGTGGTCTCTACTATGTAGAGACAAGAAATGTGTGGTTGGTGTTAATGAGAGGTAAAGAAGCTGGCTTCAGCGTCGATATGGAAGCAGCCCGTAGTGGCAGGTACCCGATTACGCCCCGGCAGTAGCACCTGCTAAGCAAGTTGCCGGCATTCAATACTATTATCCCGATAACTGCTCCGATAAGAGGTTCGACTATCGATAATCAACACATCAAGTCTAGATCCGGATCACATCGTCCAACCTCGGAAACTCAACGGATTAGATACACGACAACACTTAACATTGGCTTTCAAGCACATTTAGTTTACTTCTCAATGTTAATCTATGTATAATCTGTGGTACTGGGCTACCATTGTGATGTTGCAAGGCTTTCGTGTTGGAATCGTTGCGAAAAGAGAATAGGTTCAACACGAGCATAAGGGCACTACATTCTGATGACTAGGTATCCTGTCAGAAGACGATCACGGGCAGTAAATCGAGCAAACAGCCCGTTTACAATACCGAAGAGTCAGTATTGAGTTTATCCCTTGGGAGTCGTGCATTCCATAAATATGAAAATACGAAATCATGCTGGAAAATACACAACGCCCCTCAGCTTTCGTTGGCGCTATCCTTGTCGACCACATCTATGCATTCTTCTCGCGGTTGGACCATGGGTGCTGCGAACGGCGCAGAAAAATCTCGCTGAGGGTTTCAAAGGGATGACACGATCAATTAAATCAAGATGGAGTGAAAACATAAGCAACTCGCAAGGCTCACATAATAATCTTCTTCCGCTCCGGGTCTGGTACAATGGCTCAGCACACCTCACTGAGCGCGAAGAATTGGGCACCCATATAATTACTTTCTACTATCCGTCGAACACAGTCATCCTAAGCTTCGTCTACTACGAACTCCATTCGCCCAGCTTCAACGCAGAGAAAAGGGTTAGGCCCTGCATTGTCAAGCGTTGACGGCACTGATGACTCGATTATGTCAGGTTTCCCGCTATCTTTGCCAGAGACCTGATACACGGCCTGAACGTGGGGAGCAATCGACTGTCTGCGCAGCAACGGCGAGGGTAGCTCAGTGCGATGTTTCGGCAGAGGTGATTGCACATAACGTCCATGTCGTCTCCTTTGCCAAGAGCGGACATTCTGGACGAAGCCGCTGGGTGGGCATTTGTTGTCGCTCCAGTTGGTTGATGATCCAAGGGCAAGTTCCACTTGACGAGGTTCGCCAATCGGCCGCTCTCCGAACCCCAGATGCACCCCCCCCCCCCCCCCCCCCCCCCCCCCCCCCCGGCCAGAGATCTGAATCGCCGTCCGTGGCACGGAGCTCGTGTACACTTCTTCCCTATTGTACAACCACGGGTCTGCAATGACTACAGCAAAACGGTGACGCACGACCATCGCAAAAATACAGCGACCGATCTCCTTAGAGTCTTATCCGGGGAGGAGGCCGGTAGGCATGACAGGACAGGATCAGGATGAGGCACCGTTATTGTCACGGCCGGAACACGATGAAGACACCGACTTCATCCCAGACGATGCGACTGTGCACTTACCCGTTGACGATTTGACCCAGCATCAGCGTCTTGGACTATTTGTCTGGTTACTGACCGTGTCTGCGGGTATCTCGGGTCTCTTGTTTGGCTGTAAGCGTCGACTTCATCTCGCCTACATGTTCCATAGCTGACCCATGCGCTGTAGATGACACAGGAGTAATATCCGCCACACTCGTGTCAATTGGCACGTCGCTCTCGGGCCGCGAGCTGACATCCTTCGACAAATCCATCATAGCCTCTTCAACCTCGCTCTTTGCGCTTATCGCATCGCCTTTTTCCTCCGTTCTCGCCGACCGATATGGCCGCAAGCCTGTCATAGTAGTTGCTGATATTCTGTTTGTGTTCGGCGCATTGATCCAGGGCCTCAGTCCAAATGTCGCAGTGATGGTCATCGGGCGATCGTTAGTCGGTCTGGCGGTAGGCGCCGCGAGCTTCGTCACCCCACTATATCTCGCCGAGCTTGCGCCGGCCGCCCATCGCGGAATGGTCGTCACGATGAATGTCCTGTCTATTACGCTCGGCCAGGTCGTCGCCTATGTCATGGGTTGGGCATTCGCTGAACATGGTGATCCTGACCTGGGATGGAGACTCATGGTCGGATTGGGCGCCCTGCCCGCCATCGTGCAGTTCGTATTGTTATTTTTCATGCCAGAGACACCGCGCTGGTTAGTCAAAGCCAAGAGATTAGTAGAGGCACGCGCGGTCATCATGAAGACATCTAGCTCGGATCCAATTGCTCTTCTCATGGCCGATAACACCTTGAAAGATATAGAGATCGAAGTCCAAGAGGAGGAAGACAGCTTGATTCTACGTAGTAACGGCGGGAAGATCTCCCGTAATTGGCTCATTGGTTGGCACGAACTATTAACAGTGCCAAAGAACCGTAGAGCATTGACTATTGCGTGTCTGCTTCAGGGTCTGCAACAACTTTCTGGGTTTGTACGTATAGTGGTACCAATCAGTAACACGAGGAACTGGCACTGACAACTCACCCTCCAGAACTCGTTGATGTATTTCTCAGCTACGATATTCCTTGCTTTAGGCTTTTCCGTACCTACGTTGACGTCGTTGAGCGTCGCCATCACCAATGCGGTCTTCACGGTATTCGCCTTGCTGCTTATCGATCGAATTGGCCGGCGACGGATCTTGCTGTACTCAATTCCATTTATGGCCTTCGGCCTCTTTGCGACCTCCTACGGATTCCATGCCTCGGGGTTCACGCCTATCGAAAAGCGTGGAGGCGAGTTGACCGAGCTTGCTGCTGCGTTCATCTTGGTGGATATCATGATCTACGTTGCGGCTTATGCTCTTGGGCTTGGTAACGTGCCTTGGATGCAGAGTGAACTGTTCCAATTGAACGTCCGGGCTTTAGGTAGCGGGATGGCGACGGGGACAAATTGGCTTGCGAATTTCATTGTTGGCCTTACCTTTTTACCATTGATGGACACGCTGACTCCAACTTGGACATTTGTGATGTACGGATTCGTCTGCGTAGCTGGATGGGTTGCTGTTTGGTGGATATACCCAGAGACTGTTGGGCTAACTCTGGAGGAGGCTACGGGACTGCTCGAGCATGGCTGGGGAGTGAGATGAACTGAGTTTGATACAGCTTTTGCGAATTTGAGGTCGTGATGACAATGGACGATGTATTAAAATCAACCTATAACCCTTTTGACTTCCAGAATACCGACTTGCAGAAGACTGACCGAGAGCCGATACCGCACTTCCAGTCCAACTTGATTCTTGAACACATATATGGAGATCGCGGTTGAGATGACGAAAACTTCTGAAATTATTCTCATGGAGGACTACGCTGAAATCGGAAGTCCCATTCCTACGAGGATTGCAGGCTCGTAGACACTGTGATGCGCATAACTTAGGATGCCAATTGCACCCGGCTCCATCATCATGGTAAATTCAAAATCCATTGGGTACTTCAGCCACCTCTTGGTAAAAGCTCGTAGTATGTGGCCATGGGCAATCTGTTGGAAGATACCAATCAGCATTAAAGTATGTAGGTCGTTCACACCTTAGTTTCCGACGTTATTTGTTCTAGTACTTACTACCAAAATATTTGGCGCCGGGCCACCTTTCATGAACGGTTCCTGAATCCTGACTATCTGCTTGATCAATCTGTCAAGGCGTTCTTGGACCTGTTGCGGAGTTCTAGTGATGAGCGCGTGTCAGTCACTTAGTTCATTTCGACAGCCGATTGATCCAGGATTACAAACACGTTAGGGCTAATCCTGTGGTAATACTCACTCTCCATCTGGACAACCCCCAGTCCAAATATTCCACTTGCCCAATCCTTGCTCTTGCCTCTCAGCCTTGATCTCACTTGGCGTTTTGCCCTCGTATGTTCCATAGTCCCACTCAGCTATATCCTCAGTGAAAGCGATTTTGTCTTCTTGCTCCAATTGTCTTTGATTTGTCTCGCCGAGAAGCATTTCCAGAGTTTCCACAGCTCGCTTACGCGGGCTACAAAACACGCGCGCAAAACTTGAGGGATCAATGAGTTTTCCGTGCCCGACAAGCATTTCGCCCGTTGCTTTAACTTGCTTAACGCCATTCTGTGTCATGGAAATCTCGGCATTTCCTGTGCATTTGCCAGAAATGGTCCACTCGGTTTCGCCTAGAGAGATAGGAAAGGATTTATTAATTGGTTGAGTATATCGTGGACTTGAAACAATTGAATACAGACCGTGGCGGGCAAGGAAAACCCGCGGTGTTGTTGCATTTGCGTCGGACATCTTATTTCATTTGAGGACGCAAACACAAGGAAGATGAAGACCGCAATATTTAATGAATTAGCTTCGAATTCAAAGAAGAGATGTACATCGGAACGGAGTCAAGTAAGTTGGAATGGGTCAGTGTTGCTATGCTGCAAGAATTAGAAAAACCCTGGCGTGGCAACTGCAGGTTCTAACACAGTGGAGACAGATTTGGATCCGCGAAACAACACAACACACCTAACCCACGAGGGTGAAGATATGGGTTCTCGCTTTGAAAAGTGAGAAAAACAACTGCACGTGTTTCGTAACCAACTTACCTAAATAGTGCTCCGATTAGGTCAAGTGCGTATGCCATTTCAAGGCAATTGAGCAAGTGATGACATCCTGCCCTCAACATTTGCGCTCACTCATCCGTCCCATTTGGGATCTATAAACGATGGCCCAACGACGACGACAAAGCATATTTTGGTATATCAGTTAAAACCTCGAGCTTACAGTGGAATTGAAGAATGCGTAGCTATGAATCTCAAGTGTGGTATTGAAGTGATAGCTGAAGGTTTAGCATGCAGTGTGTCGCTTCTAGCTGAAAAGATATATAATTTATTGTACAAGACAAATCCATCAATCAGTTTTCGTGGCCTAGCGGTTATGGCGTCTGCTTTACATTGTGCAATGCACGCAGAAGATCGCCGGTTCGATCCCGGCCGAGAACAGCACATTTACCTTTTGCTACCGTAACAATCGAGTCCACTTTGTTCAAATTTTGCCCATACATTCCCCGTCCCTTCAGGGGCAACACACTTGCTTGACCCATAGCGACAACAATCCACATACTGTATGTTGCCCTTGCTAGAATACAACTGTGAGAGCATGGGTTTCTACATGTCATCCGCACACATACATATTTTGGAAAAGGAGCTACCAAACAACTGCAATCTGGCTCGAGCAACCATATGTACCTAGTCAGCGGCTCTTGACGGGATTATTGAATCTGCCTCTATCATTCGTACTTGAGAATCCGTCTTGAAACCAACAATCTACAACAAATTTCTGCAAATATTGTTTTTCGCTCTCGACTTGGCCGTGTCAAAGCGCTGCAAGCCGACTACTGTAGCCGCGGCAATGTTTTGCACAGGGGGGTTTATGCAGTGGCGGAGGGGTCTGAAAGCGAAGTCCGCGCGGGCTCCATCTGAAAAGTGGTAACCCGGCGTTGGCTGCAAACTCCGCGTGGCCTCTTCAGCTTATCCCCATAGATCTCACGGAACAGTTCTGGACGCTTCCGCGACAGGACCCCTCGTTCACAGTCGGACGAAGGCAGGCCAACCCGGCCATGACTAAAGCTCTTTTCATGCTTAGGCACTGGGAATAAAACAACTATCTGTTGATTATATTATCAGTATTGAGGACTTGTGTTCAATCCTTCGATGTCGTCGACAGGTCCCTTGAATCTTGACAAGAAATAACAGTCTGCATAGTTCACGTTAGGTAGTTATAATAACAACTAATCGTATTAGTGGAAGGGGATAGCATAGAAGATCACGTAACACCTTGAAGACGATAGTATCTGATTTGAAATGAGGCTCACGAGGGTCATTAATAATGGTTTGCATATGGGGTTTATTTTAGGTGCATGGCTGACCATCTTTGTTCAATCACCGATGCATTCGTTGGGCACAAGTCCGAAATCCGTATAAGGTTAGTATTTGTAAGGTATGCATTTCCGAGCCCGCCCTCCCTGCCTCCGCGCTCAGAAACCGAAGCCTAATGATCCAATGGATCTCGAGTGGGCCGTTCTAATCGTAGGTAGCGACGATTTAGCAAAACATTAGTGAAAGCAGTGGATCGATCGTGATATTGCGCTGCTTCAGTCAATGCGCCGCGCCGGGCTGCTAGCGCACGTGGAATAGAGACAGACTCGGCTGGTGACTCGGATGGTGACTCGGACGGTGCAACGGGATTCACGCTTCAACGGTTACGGCCTTTGCGATACACCAACCACATGCATCTTCATCTTCGTCAGACAGCTGTCAGAGCCTTGTAATCACGCAGCTGCAATGCTCGAGTTGTGAGTAACCGCCGAGCGAAGCCGCAACGTCTCTCCTGTCCCGGGTACCGATCGTGTGGATTAGGCTACGGATTATTCGAGCATCGGATAGTCAGTCGATCCCCCACCGGCGAGGAAAATTCTTTCGTCATCGATTGTCATCTACCCAGCGGTCGGGGCCACTAAAAACAACCCACCATACGCAGTACGGTAACGGTATACTCGTCGGCCGAGGCACGAAAAATTATGAATCGCGAAGAGCCGACCCGGATTCTCAAGGCCTCTCTAGGCTTTGGGCGTTGGCCCTTTCCACTTTCCCCTTTCTCAAGGCATACGGTTATAAACTCTGACTGCCCCTCCCCGTCCCCTAACTATAACTCTATTCTCGTATCGGTTCATATCATAACTTTGTGACTTCTACACCTCGGCCTCTCTCACAGCAGTTGTGCCCCACCACCAAAGAACGACAGAGTGATTGACTTCACCAAGACATTGTTCAAATCTGAGACAAGACATTCAGAGTTTCTGGCAACCTTTCTACGACGGACTTGGGAAAGTTCATTCCAGTGTCTTCCTAGCAATTGATCACAAGCTCCCAAGCGGCATAATAAACCATCAGACTTGGCATTGGAGTTCGGAACAACATGTCCAAGCTCGACGAAGTCGACCGCGAATTGCTGCGGGCAGAATCAGACGCCATGTACGGCATGTCTGGGCGGGGACCATCGCCTACCCCCCGAAGAGCGAGCAATGAGGTAGAGCGGGTTTCGTCGGCGTCGTCCGTCTCTTCCATCTCGAGTGAAGGTGTCGTCCCGCGGCCCGTCAGCATGAGCAGAATCGCCACTTCTAATGATCTGGAGAGACATCCAACGGCCTTGAGCCGTATCCACACGGCACGCAGCCAGCACACCGCTACCGTCGGACGCAGTCTCAAGAGCAGAGACTCCAAGTCCGGGAAACCACTACCTGCTTTCGGAGCCGGCAAGCCATATCCTCCACCACTCCCCGATCAGGAAGAGTATGTCGTCGAGTTCGACGGCCCCGATGACCCATATCATGCACAGAACTGGACCACCAAGAAGAAGTAAGTTATCAGGGATCCCTATCTGTTTCGGAATCGGATGCTAACGCTGTGTCTCATAGGATGCTGACGGCCGCTATGCTTGGCTACACTACGGTCGTTTCCGCTTTCACGTCGAGTATCTTCTCCGCTAGCACGAGAGCCGTGGCTGCGCAGTTCGGTGTAAGCGCTGAAGTCGGTATTCTGGGTGTGTCCCTCTACGTTCTTGGCTTTGCGACTGGACCAATTATCTGGGCGCCATTGTCAGAGTTGAAGGGCCGTCGTCTGCCAATTGTTATTGCCATGTTCGGCTTTTCCGTCTTCACGATTGCTTGCGCCACGGCCAAGGACTTGCAGACGCTTTTGATATGTCGTTTCTTTTCTGGCTTCTTCGGCGCGTCTCCCCTCGCCGTCGTGGCCGCTGTCTTCTCAGACATGTTTTCCAACGCCACGCGAGGTGTTGCTATCACTGTCTTCTCCATGGCCGTTTTCACTAGTCCTTTATTGGCTCCATTCATTGGAGGCTTCATTGTCGAGAGCTATCTTGGTTGGAGATGGACCATGTACATTTCCGCCATCCTGGGTTTCGTGGCTTTCGGTCTCGACTTGTTCTTCCTTGAGGAGACCTATCCTCCTGTCATTCTGGTCCAGAAAGCGGCCGATTTACGACGACGCACAGGAAACTGGGGAATCCATGCCAAGCAGGAAGAAATCGAGGTTGATTTTGGAGAGCTCATCGAGAAGAACTTCTCTCGACCAATGCGTCTGTTGTTCCTCGAGCCTATTGTCACCCTCCTGTCTGTCTACATGGCTTTCATCTATGGTTTACTTTACCTCTTCTTGACTGCCTATCCTCTCGTTTTCGAGGGTGTGCACCATTTCAACAGTGGCCTGTCTGGCCTTACTTTCTTCGGTATGATCATTGGCGAATTGATTGCTGGCTTCGCCGTGCTCGCAACCCAACCAGCTTACCAACGAAAGCTGGCTGCAAACAACGGTATACCTGTTCCAGAGTGGCGCCTGCCCATCATTATCGTGGGCGGTGTCGCTTTTACTGGAGGTATCTTCTGGTTTGGCTGGTCGGGGTATCAACAGAGCACCCATTGGGCCGTGCCCGCCGCTTCCGGCCTTTTGACTGGCTTCGGCTTGCTGTCTATCTTCCTCCAGGCTTTGAACTATCTCGTTGATGCCTACCTTGTCTTTGCCGCCTCTGCCATTGCTGGAAATACTTTCTTGAGATCTCTCTTCGGAGCCGGTTTCCCCTTGTTTGCCACCTATCTTTTCAATGGGCTCGGCATCAACTATGCTTCGACCCTCCTGGGAGTTATTGCCGCAGTCTTAGTACCTATCCCCGTACTTTTCTGGAAGTACGGCGCTAGACTGCGACAGAAGAGCCAGTATGCCCCTACGGCACTGAACAATAACACTTTGATCAAGCAAGCGAGCAAACATTCTGCACGCGATGGCCTCATCCCTGAGGATGACACTGACCATGCCGCATCGGCAGTCGCCCCTCGACCGGGCAATATCGAGAAGGCATAGATGCTTCGTGGGATATTTTACAAAAAACTTGAGAATGCGATGTCTGATTCGCCAGATGTATGACCTAGGAAACTATTGTTCGAGGAAAGCGATGAGGTTATAGAGAAATTGGGAACTGCATAGGTTGATACCATGGTATGGCAGCATTGGATCAGGCGTTTTGAGAGCGTGGGCACTTAGAAGATCATTTACAGGCAGCATGACACAGAGCATGCATGCACTAGCATATTATTATAATCAATTAATCGCTATTAAACTCGTCTTCCACTGACTATTAGTCTATGATCGTACTGATATCCTGCCACGTATGAGCACAAGATAAAGCACCATATAGGTAACCTAGTAACATGTATTTATACCCGTAGACCGATCATTGATAATTGCAATTGCTTTCGCAATAGCCAACAGGCTGAGGAATTATAATGCAATTAGACAAATAGTCAGTCAGTAAGTATCAATTCTCCCGAAGCAACCCTTTGGGTCATAGTTTCATCACAATCTCGTTCCCATCTTCAAGCAAATGCGGCTCTGGTCTGGCAACTCCGCACAAGGGAATCCACTCCCTTGCATCCCCTCACATCATCCGCAGTTGTGCTATGAGCCATTGCCACCTCTTTTAGACAAGGACCTCTACTTAAACTATGACCCGGTTGGTTTGTAAGCCTCGTATTCGCCGAGCAATTGGTGATTACAACGGTACAGGCTTCCATATAATGAGTCACAGTCTCACCGTAAAATTACTTTTACCTAGGCAAATCAATCCTAACCGTCACCTGCGACTCATCGGGTTCACTTCTCCATCAGATTGACACCGTATCCTATTTCGAAGCCACAGAAAACAAATCAGAAATTTGCATCTCAAGCGAAAAGAATGGCTGAGGAACCACCCAAGTCCACCGGATCTTATGAGGGCGGTTGCCATTGCGGCTACATCAAGTTCACTGTCACGCTTTCGCCTTCGCTTGAGGAGTATACGGTTTTGAACTGTAATTGCTCTGCGTGTTCGCGGTTTGGGTATTTGCTTGTCTGTGAGTCTGCCCCCTTGGCTCTGTATTAATTTTCGATTT